TATCTCTGTCAGTCCTCTTTCTTTTACTGACTTCTCCCATTTTTTATTTTGTTCCTTTTCTCTTATTCCCTCCTTGCCTCTCTTTAGACCTACGCAGAGATATGGTAATAAAATTGTGTCCATTTATTTATTGTCTGTGGTATATAATTGGACAAATCAGTTGATATATCTGAATATGCAATTATGTTGTTGCAGCCTCAGGCCTATTTAGGTTTGACATTTAACTGGGGGGCTTTACTTGGTTGGGCAGCTGTTAGAGGAAGTCTTGATCCTGCTATTGTACTCCCACTTTACGCTTCTGGTGTATTTTGGACACTTGTGTATGATACAATATATGCGCATCAGGTACTTTTTATTTTTTTCAGAACTTCTGGCTACCTGGATATTAACATAAATTGATGGGTCTCAGATAAATCGCAACTTAGGAGATGTGATGAATAACAATGCTATTTGCTTGTTGGAGTTTTGTATTGTGATTCCATGGCAAAATACTTTGTTCTACACTTCTATAAATGTTTGACTTTTGATATCATGAAATTCAATGACTTGTAGCTTCTGTGGTACTTTGTTATCCTAAGGTTGTTCTTTTGCTTATTCATTCCTCCTTTGTTTTTGGACACAATTGCTGAACAAGTTATTTGCTTATGGAATATTTTTGAAAGCAATCAAATCCTTATTAACCTTCTAGATCCTTTGACAGATGCTATCTTTGTGTATTGAATTTTGATGTATTTAGATTTTTGAAAATCAGTTTATCCCTCTAACATCTTGTACTTTGCGTCTTCTGTACTTATCTACAATGTCTAAAAGTGTTGAACTGGCATATCTGCATGATATATGGAGGTTTGGGTCTCGTTTGTCTCATACTTAACCATGATCTAGGATAAAGAAGACGATGTAAGAGTGGGTGTCAAATCAACGGCCTTGAGATTCGGAGATTCAACCAAAGAATGGATTACTGGATTTGGAATAGCATGCATTGGCAGCCTTGCTTTTAGTGGATTTAATGCTAATCTTGGTGCGTTTTCTCTTTTTTTTGTCTTGCACATAGCTGAATGCCCTTAGCTTATATTACTAAACTGTGTGTCTAACTCTCTCTCTCTCTCTCT